CAAATAATTTCAGAAATAGAGTTTGTTTTGAATTCTTGATGAATGATTTATAATAATGCTTTCCAGTACATATCTGAATTTGTAGCTTTTACTAATATGGAAGACTTGGATCGACGGCTCAATCAGTTTATGCTTCTAAAAGAAAATTTTCACTTCGACAAGTGTTAGGTGATGTTTTAAATTTGAATATAATGATTCCTTTTAGATCATTTATTAATAAATGACAAAGTCAAGGTGCAATATTATGTCTATTTGCATTTGTGAGAATTGTTTCATTGGGGGAGACCTTCAAGAACTTTGACCAACTTGGACTTGTCATTGGATGTGATTTTGAAATTTGCTTTTACTTTTATTGAATTTGAAATTGGAAATTTAACAGTTAAAGGTTCAAAATGCTTAAAGTCGTCATTATACATTTTTTCTTGATTCTTTAACTAATTTGAAGCTATCAAAATTTGGTACACTCAGAAGAAGAATAGTAAAATAGAAGTAACAAGGCGATTCATATTAACACATTATAATATAAATAAGTACACCTGTGATGACATAAACTGCCATGCATTTTTCTGAATCGTCGGTTGAAAATAATTCCCATTTTTCTTCAACAATTAAATCTTTTCAAAATAAATACATTTTAAGCTAAAGAGAGGAAAACTTTTCAGTATTCTCACATTGCTCTTTTACCCATTTTTCAACATTTCACAAAGAAAATAAACCATTCATTCTTAACACAAACGAAATATTTCTCCGATATTTGTATATTTCTTGTATGCTTCTGTACTGAATAAGATTTTCTGCAGTTACAGATATCTCTGTTTGCAGAGGAAGATACTTCATTTCAAGCTATGTTTGCAGTACAAAATATGATTCTTTAAAACATTGCTTTCTAAAAAAATTTTGCTCGAAAAAAGATTGGTAAAAAGTTCATTCAAGGCTATAATTTACAAAATAAGATACTTCATTTTAAGCTATAATTTAGAACGTAAGACTTCATTTCAAACTATAATTTAGAAAGTGACAAGCGCTTTTAAATTGTCTTTAATATATATCGCGATCATTAACAAGTCCTAATTATGCTATTTAAAGAATTAAAACTGATCAAGACAGAGATTTTCTTTAATTCTATAGCAATATGTCACTTCAACCTGTTTGGATCAGTGATATAAAAAATTTCAGTTCTGTTTTCAATTTTGTCTACAAACTGATTTTTAAAATTCAAACGTATATGATGAAAAAAACCATGTCATAACAACGATTTCCACAGTTATAAAGTGAATCAAAATAAATTGGTCTACCATTTAACCATTTTCTTCTATCTGCTCGTCCCACTCCAATTCAATAACTTTTTAACGTCGTGCCACATTGAATATCTAAGGAATGTGACCGTTTATTAATAATGACATTATCATTTAATAATAACTTTTTTATAAGTTATAAAGTGTAACGTACGTTGTATTAAGACTGCAATATATTTTAACAGTTTACTCTCAAGAGGGAAGGTCATAGAAATTAAACAAGAAATTAATACTCTCGCTGAGTTGAGAGGTTTGAGGCACAGATGATGTTTAATATCTGAGACGACATTATCTGACAATGTCCATTACAGTAGAAACACATTCCTTAGTTTAAACAAGTGATTTATATTAATTTTTAATGTGAAGACTAGCTTGTCGTGTAGATTATCATTGTGTAATATATTTTTTTATCAGTGTTACAAACAGACATTGGCATTTCTTAATTTCCATTGAAGGATAGCTTTCAAAAAGAATGAGGAAGAAATAACCCATTGAAATTCAAATAAGTGAAAAAAGAGTCCGAGCTCCATGATTCGAGTAATTAACCTTATTCCTTCCTATCAGTAAAGGTTTTACAAAAGTGTTTGAACAGAAAAGGCAAGAATTTACAATATGCTTAACTGTAAATCCAAGAAGAAATTTTAACGTAATATTTAGTCATTAAAATTGCGTAAATGATGATATTTGTTAAAGATAAATCACATTCTTTGCTCAAAACTGGAGATCTAAAAATCACAAATCAAAACAAAAAGTGTAGACAATTTGATATACAATTATTTAGAAAGATAATAATAATTTTATGAGCACTTAATGATCGTTACAAAAGTTATAAACACACCGTAGCATTTGACAATATTATTTCGCTCATAGTATGAATTATTCGCAAGAAAATCTGCCATTGCTAGTGGCGTCCATAATTTGCCATTTCTGCACATTTTTGATAAATCACTTGCATGAACACTGCGTAAGACTAGAAGCAAAGGAAGGAAAATAATACTAATTGGGAAATTTTATTACCAGTTCGAAACGATTGCATTTTTATACTTTTTTGAAATTACGATTTAACACTTCCGACAAACAAGAATTTTTACAGATTTTTTTCAATTTCACGGACTAATCTTCGTAGGCGAACATTACATCTGTTTTTCTTAAAACTTCAACATTTTTTAAGTTAGATTTCAAGCTTTAATTTTAGACCTTTAATTTAAATGAAATATTTATTGATTGGATTTTACAATACAGAATACTTTATCATACCAAAAAGATTGACGTAATTTTCAAGAGGTTGAAAATCGCTTTGAGGACAACCCCTAAAACTGTTACGCAGAAACGAAAGTGTTTTCATTCTGCTTAAATTTCGTTCTTTTTTATATTTTAAGATTGAATTTGGTACGGTTAAAGAGAGAAATGCAAAGGATTGGTAGTCGTCCATCAATCCTTTGCGTTTTTGCTTAATTTTTTTCTTTTTTTTTTTTTTTTTTGTAATTTTACTGAATTTTCATTAGCAGTAAGAGCAGTTGTTAAATCTGAAATCATAATTTTCTTTTGATAATTTATTCATTTTTTCTACCGATTAGTTCGTTACAAGTCAAGTTTTATAGCTTACTTATTAAGAGGAAGAAAGTAGTAGGTTAAATAGAGAAAGTATCTGACTCATTTTACCGAATGAAACAGTGCTGTTTGAAGTAGATGGATGTAACACTTCGGTGTTATCGTCCTGTTTTACTGAAGAACTTACAAGCACGTTCCCATGTATCTTTATATTGTACTGTAGCAGGACAATGTGTTGACAGTATCTCTTTTTCGGTGATACTTTGATCTACTTTTATGATCCTTAAATTATAATATCGAATACATGTTTTTATGCCGACCATTTTGTTTTTCAAATTCCGTCCACTGAGACCATTGATAATTGCTGATTAAATTAAAAATCGTGTTGAGAATTAACTATATGAAAATTGTATGAAAATCTTTAAAAAAGATTTTCATACAGAAATAGTATCGAAAATCATCAGAAATCGATTCTTTATTTCAATTTCAGGTTGAGCTAGACTCTTCACTCATCACAGCTCAATGTATTTGTCAGGAAGTTCGGATAAGTCACTCTTGCAGTTTGAGTAAGTTTCGATTTCTATCACTTCTGAATATGGCCCTTGAGCAATTTATTGATTTTATTCGTTGCTGACATGCTACAAAAGTACTCTGAATGCAGAAAATCTCAAGATTAATCTAGAATCAACAACTGGAAAAAAATCAGTCTAGAGTTAAACTTAACTTCTCAAGAAATAAAAAGGAGCAAACGTTTTTGGAATAAATTAGGATTATGTATTAGTATCTAGGCTCAAATTTAAGTCTACAAAGATTTTTTCTGAAGTACTATTACATTATACCTTGTAACTTTCAACTTGAAAAAACTAAAAGTTGTAGGAAATAGTCCAACAATGTTTAGCAAATAAATGTGTTTAGTACTATGTACAGTGATGCCATTGTTCCTTTTAAAATGATGAACCAGTAAGTAGGTTCTCGTAAAACATATATATGGTTTACGGAAGTGATGTATATCCACATTCAGTTTCTTATCTTCCGGTTCTGAAAATGGGCACGGATAACTCAATTTTGTCAAAGTATCTGGATGTTGAATTAAAGTTTAGCTTTCCTAACACGCAGCAATGTTAATGGAAAACAATCAAGTATATATTAGATGAATTAGATAGCACTGACGTTGAACTATTGGAAAGAGTAAGCCTAATGATGTTGAAGCTATTAAAGTCTCAGGAGTAACTGGCAAGCATTTCATCCATCAGATTTTAAAACTAACTTTTTGTTAGACTTCTGGATAATACTTGCGCTGTTGTTTCATTCTAAATATAAAACAGTACATTACAAGTAAAACTGAAAATATACTTGAAGTCTAGAATGAATCTGAAAAAGTGTTTGCTTCCCAAGCGTCTAATTAGATAAACCAAGAAGATGTTGCATTTGAGCAAATTTAATGCACCATATCTGATAGTTCACTGCAGTGGAATTTTATTCACTATTCAAATTTGAATTAAGTACATCCAAAACTTGAAACTGAATACTTGTTGTCACTGGTTCTTTTCCATATGGTTCAGTTTCTATTTACTTACTCTAGTACTTTTTAGAAATTAATTTACTATCCTTTTAGTTATTTAGTCCTCATACTCTTTCTTTCTGAAAACATTACATCTACTTAATGACTTCATAGTTAGCATTCCACGCAATTTCATAAAAAACGCATATTTATACATTGTTTATCTTTGTCATCGACTCAGCATATCTAGTGTCTAACGTTGTCCCAACTACACCCATCGTTATGTCTACGAAAGAAACATATTAGTTTCGAACTATTAATTACATTCCCAGACAGACATCGAAGTGATTATTACTCATGAATGAATACAGGTTTATTCATTATTAAATTTATTCCTGAGCAGTAATCATACTGATGTCCGTCTCAACTGGAATGCTTTTTTCAGGAAAAACTATTTCCGAATAAATGTATGATATCCCAGACATCTGTGCTAATAGATCTTGCAATCGCTGCAGTTGAGTAGCTGATTAATTTAAACAGAAAAGGGATAAGTGAACGCATGTGACAGTTGTTCGGCTGATATTATTTAAAATGATCCGAAATTTTTGCTTGAAAGCTTTGATAATATCAGTGAAAGAAGTTTTTTTCTAAATTTAATAATTAAAAAAATCATTAGAAACATAAACTTTCCGGGACTCTTCCACACGCGGTAGCAAGATTTTGCTCTTGACTTCGCGAATGCTCAGCAGTTGAAAATCGTTCTAAAATCTCATTTAAAGGAACAAACCATTCTCAATAATCGAGTGAAGGTCTTTCTATCCAGTTTAGATTTGTGAAATTTTTTAAAAATTTTGTGATTAGAGTTGATAGGAATATTTTTTCTAAGCAACCAAACTTTATTGAAGTTTACATTATGTCCTAAGATTTCTCATGCATCCAAATCTTTTGGACTCTGTTATCAAAATTCCGAATTGTTTGAAATTCCGACTGTGATATTTTAAAATAAACCATATAGCCTGAAATTGTTTTATTCTTCTCCAGAAGATGCAGAAACAGCACACTTTCCTTTTGTATAGTGATTCTTCGAAATAGCCGTTTCATCGATTTTTGCTGCACTTTCCCATGGGAACAGAGTTTGCTAAAAGAATCTCAAAGTTGTTTCAAAAAAGATAGGCGAAAGATAAAAGTATTAATATTTGTTGTTTGCACACATTTCCGAACTACTTGCATATTAGACATATCGTAGACACTGCTAAATGTCCCATAAATTTTATTAATTATTATAAAAAAACTAATTTTTTAGCTTCATAAATATTGTAAAATAAATGCATCCATGTCTTGCATTTTGAAGAGAATAACAAGAATCATTCTCTTTTTCCCTATTCTCATTATAACAGACCCATCCACATTCATAGTAAACTATTATAACAGACCCATCCACATTCATTCTAAACTATCATTTTTTATTTTTATTAAGTGCCAAAACTGCTAAAAATAGCAATATTTTGAAGATAATTCATTATGTTATATGCATTGCACTACCTGTACTCCATTTTCATATTCATCAATATTTTTTTTATCATTGAATGGTGATAACAGACAAAGTGTTGTCCATCCACAGTCATCATTGATGCAATTGAAAAAATTCAGCAATTTCCAAACGAAAAGATGTTTTGTTATCTTGCCTTTAATCGCATTTAAAGTAAACTGAAACAATCTGTGTGAATATGCTTTATTTAACCTTATTTTAGTGAATTTATTTTTTTATTCTGTTGTAATCAACTTTATTCTGTCGAACACATAATTGTTAGTAAATGATCTATCCATCATTCTGGCTGCAGTGATTTAAAACAGAGAATACAAAAGCAGTAATTGCTGAGTCACTCGCAGTGCAATGCAAATATCTTCCAGAAATGTTTAGTCAAAACCTCATTCAAAAAAAAAAAAACGAAAATTGCTTTTGTGTACTTCTACATAGCTTTTTTTTTTTTTCAATTTCTCTACTTCGTTTTTTTCACGGATTTCTCCACCTTGCTTTATTTGGATTGTTTGCTAGCATCCTGAAATGTTATTAGCACCGAAAACTTTTTTTCTTAATACATGAAATAAAACACGTTTGCAAACGGTTCGTAATTTGTTTGCAATTGGTTTGTAATTAATTATAATTAATGCAATTAATTGGATTGCAACACATACGGACACCTTGCTCCTTCCACCGAGGAATGATTTCCTTACTGGGTAGAATTTGCGATAAAAATGAATTGGAAATTTTGTAAATCTACATATATAGGAGAACAGAGTATAGGAAAAATTGTTATACATTGAAGTATGTTAAGGCGCTCTATCTGTTCTTTAGATCATTTGACACTTTAGATGAGTGCCATATTTTTGAAGTTGATTGTTAAATTAAGGAAAAATTGATTTCTAATTTAATGGTTTTTTAATTATCATATCATTACGATATCTGAAGTGCTTCGACAAAGCGACAAGAGTGTATAATGATACTAGTGTACTGGTTATCGTTCAATAAAAAATGAACAATTTAAAGAGTTAGTTCACTTTTAGTTTATAGGTTTCTCTTTAAAATACAAAAAAAGAAAAACTAACCATATTTTAAAAAAGAGAAAAAGAAGAAAAACTAAGCATATTTAAAATGCGAGAAAAAAAAAAAAACATCAACCTATCGAAATCAACTGAAATTTGCTGAACTTTATTTAATTTTAATTTCAAATAACGTTAACTTATAATATGGCAAAATTTGCAATGTTAATCTGAAAATAACATTGACGTTGATTTCCCAAATTTTGCAGAAGAACAGGACTTCAAAATGAATTGGCTTTTTCGGGTCGGACAAAATTTTCGGAAGAAGCTAATTTAGTTATTTCCTCTTTTTTACAGCTGTCGTCTTATGAAATTAAATATGAACAAAAGGATTTCAATGAGGCAAATTACTACCAATTCAGTAGTAGCGGCAATGAATAAATAATAATAAATCATTTCAAAAGGATTCCAACACTCCAATTATTGTTCAATTACTTTTGCTGTAACGAAACATTTGGCACTAAAAACCTTTTGTTATAGAGTTTGATTTGTTACTAAGCTTGAAGCATAAGCATAATAAAATGATAAACAATATTTGGACAAAGTGATCATACTTTGAATGCTTCCCCTCATTACAAGTTCGAATTATGCTCTCACTGATTTACAAATTTGAGAGGAAAAGTTTGAGATCTCATTTTTTAATACATATCGCAACCGTTTATGAGAGGCAAGCAGTAAAATGAGTTCATGGACAATGTACTGTGGTAGTGTCGGTAGTGCTGTCTACATCCTCTGATCAAATAACAAACAAACAAATATTTGTAGAATTCGTGTTATTAGAAATATACACTGAGTAGTTCTACTTCTGATAGCATTATTGGAAGTATTTCTCAATTTCAAAATGATGTAAGAGTAGTTTGAATAATAAAAACATTAGAATAAATTTTCTCAGTAATAGTTAGAGAAAAGATGAATTTCGCGAAAAAAATGTAATTAAATTTTAAAAGATGTCGAAAAATTCACTTGAATAAGTTTAATTTCATTAAACTTATTACTTTGATAATACTATAAACAAATAATTGGACATCGCGCAGTTGGATTCTTTAATGAAGCAAAATTTGAAATATTCGACAAATTCATTTTTATAATCTGTATAATTCAGAAATACATTTTCTGATGCTGACTTAAATGTGCTAAATGTGATTAGAAGTGTTATAATTCAAAAATGAATACTTTAGAAATTTCCGCAGGTGGTGTAGCATGAGAAGATCACGTGATTACTTTTTATAATGCAAATGTCGAAATGATATTAATGATATTCTTGCGGTTCATGTTCCGGACATTTTTCTATGATTACTTTTTACAAGTGCCGTACAAAAAAAATCAGTGAAAATGTAAGAATGAGTGCTAGGCGATGTCGAGCAGCTGCAAGGTCATCCTGTATTGGGATACTGTCGTGAGAATAGTAGGTACACTGTGACCGTGATTCGAACAAATACTGACGAAATTGAATAAAGTCATTGCATCGAAGTATTCAAAAAAGCGTTATTTTCATGGTATGTATTTAATTGGAAGTTTGCTGAAAAATCTTCCCATGAAACTTGAAAAATTGATATATAACTGAAATTTGAAATCCTGAAGATTTCTGAATTAAGTTACGAAAGACGAACAAATGAATAGCATTAAAGATAGAATACAATAGCATTACCCAAGATTTTCAGATACAAAAAATCATGTTGGGTTATATTTTAGTTGATTATTATGCAGTTGCGGTTTCGGATTAGTTCCAAATTAATTGAATAATTACAGCATCAATAAACTGCATTTTAATTGAGAGAAATAATTTCATGCCAGATTTGGGAAGCTATAAGTTTTGCGTTTGGGAAAATTAAGAAGAGAATGACGAAGTGACCAAAATTATCGTCTCATTGTTGCTACTTAAGAATTGAGATTTTTTTACCTATCCTTTAGGGCAACGACCAAAGAAAATTTTTGATAGTGTACAAGAAATGATTGTAATTCTTGCAAACGTTACAAAAGAATATAACTGCATGATCTTTATAAAATTTTAAGAACTGTAACAAAAAATATCTCTCCTTTTAATTTCTTGATCGATTCATAATAATTAAATGATGATAGATTCTTTCAAAATATTATTTCATATCACATCGTCGCCAATTAATAGATAAATATCATGAAAAAGTATTCTTCATCGATTTTGTAATGTCACATATGTATTTTTGGATACGAAATATTGATGTATTTCGTTATTTTGCAATTGATAGTATTTCATATTTTATTTTCCTCTCTATCTTTTATTTGCTTATTTCGGAAGACAGAAAATGAAAAGACGGATGAGATAGATGCAGCAACTCTTTCACTTCCAAGTACAGATATCTTACTCGAAATTTGAAACAAATTATTATTTCATATTGATTAAACTACCATAATGAGTGGGAACGTTTGCACTGACTTTCATTCGATAAACATTTGTATTCATTACCAGTCAATGTCGCAGTGTAAAGCGGCCAGATGCATCCGTAAGTTTGTTTACTTATTCAAAATAAAACTCTTATCGGAAATAGATAATTCCGTAGTACTCCTTCATTAGTTCGATTTCAACAACGACTTGTTTCTACACACACTTGATCCTTCACTAATTCAAGGAACAACTTATTATTAAGTTTGCATAAGACCATCAACAATCAATAAATTTGATTTTGTATTCTCTAAAAAAATTCATATATGTATGTTGGAGTTGGGTAGCGAAAATTTTCTGGTCTTATCCAGAAGAGCTAGAAGAATATCGGAAATATTGTTTAATAGTATAGTTCATTAGAATTGCATCTTCTTGTTTTTATTTTGTCAATCTTCCACTCGCTGTAATTTTTTATCTTTTATTTCCAAGTTCTTCGCAGCTTTTTGCCAAAATATATCTCTAATTAAATTTTCATAGTTCAGGTTGTATGTTTGTTTGTTTAGGTGTGTGTATATATAATGTGTATGTATGTGTATATGTATGTATGCACCACATTCTCATCAATTCGCACATGTTTCATAGCAATAACATCGATGGGAAAGACTTGCAATCTGTCTCCTGCTTTTATGGTTCATTTGTTGACTAGTTGTGGAGTGTAAACTAGTGTCATATGTCGTTAATGATGTCATTAGTCTATTGAAATTTCAACTTTTGAATCTGAGTTTGAGAAGTTTCTAAAAGTAGATAAGTTGGAATTTGTTCCTCAATGGAATGAGTAGTATAATGGAATATTGCGTTACGTTGCTTATATCCTGTTCGTAATAACTGCAGAATTTTGCTATTCTCTTTTAAAAAATACAATTATAAGTTTTTGTCCCTTGTCATTCTTCTGCTACTGATGGGATAAAGAATGACTTGGAACAATTCATCCTTCTCTGACGTATATTTTTGAAGTGCACATATCCGAGTGACACCGAAAAAGAAATCGGATTAGAGCTCTCTGTCATGTGAACCCTGCGCTGAAAAGCTTAAAAGTGCATGTCCAAAACAGCTAAGGAACTGGGTTTCTGCTAATGCACAGCTCAAGGATATTACTACTTGCTGCATTGTTCCCTGTTATTTGTTCAGCGCGCTTACTCCTTCGATTCTGATCTTACTCCTCTCCTCCTTCTCCTCCTTCTCCTCCTCCTCCTACTACTACTACTACTACTACTACTACTACTACTACTACTACTACTACTACTACTACTACTACTACTACTACTACTACTACTACTACTACTACTACTACTACTACTACTACTACTACTACTACTACTACTACTACTACTACTACTACTACTATACTACACTACTACACTATACTACTACTACTATACTACTACTACTACTATACACTACTACTATACTACTACTACTACTCTACACTACTACTACACTACACTCTACACTATACTCCTATACTCTCCACTATACACTCTATACTCACTACTACACTTACTATACTACATACCACTATACTAACTCACTACTATACTC